GATGGCTTGATGTAGATTTTAGAATTAAAGGCATTAGTATTATTCCTAAATATTTTGCTGACATATGATGCATGAAAGTAATCGTGTTAGACAAAATATGGGACCGATAATCCTTATGAAATTAATATTGAAGAAGTAAGTAAAGGCTTGATGAAAATTAGCCAGGATTTAGCAGATTCTATCCTTCAGTTACAGACAAGTTTGATTAGTATGTAAATTAAGAGACGAATGCTCCCCGAAATTTAAGTCCATGCATCAAATGAATGAAAAATTATTAGCACTCAAAAGCAAATTTAATAAAAATTCAATTAAAAGTAACCAACTAATAAACTAGAGGATTGTCTGCTTCTTACCACGCCTAAAGAGTCACCTGCTTCAGCAGTTTCATGAAATTTTTTTTTACTGGAGTCAGTGTCCGGGGCAGGAGAGACGCCAGCCATTTCAGTTGAGTCTGCTTCTGGATCAGGGGCGAGACCAAGGAGGGCATCTTGTGCAGGAGTGCGACAATACTCGGTTCTAGATAATTGAAGATCCGTAAGCGAGATTTCATCAGAGAAGCTCTCAATAAAGCCTGTCCCAGAAGGATCGTCAAGCTCCTAATACGATAGAATTCGTATTCAGAAAAAATGTGTATAATGAAATACTGGCCACAATGAACATGCTCAAATTATTCTGAAGAAAAATATGTAAAAACCTCTAATAGCAGTGGACATATACTCTACTTTTAAGCTAAATGTAAATGTAATCCAAATTAAAAGCAAAATTTTAAATAGTAAGATATAAATATTAATAAATTTTACATGCATCTTTTTTTCATTTTGCACACTTAATCTCAAATGTTTCGAAATCAGTCAAATTTAGGATAATCCAGAACTCCCTAAAATAACCTCCTAGCTAAGAGTATTTTAAACTAACAGTTAAGAGAAGTCTTTGCGGAGTGATGTTAAACATGTAAATAGTGCCAAGCGAAACATAACCAACATGAAATTGAATATATAAAGACGAAGATGTTGTGGCCTCTGGTATGGTCGCAGTCTCCTTTCGATTTATTGAAGTGGGTTGACCTCGTTGTCG